CGCGAATACGAATACGATTTTAATAGATTTTAATATTAGTTGATTTCCATTTCGACGAGTAGAGCCTCGGAGACGCGACTACGATAACGATTCACCTTATTGACGCAAATTGACATTAATTCGACCAAACGGCCAATTTTTCGCGTCGGCGAGCCGGGGTCTATGAAAGCGACAGGGAAGTAATAAATCTTGATAAGCCAACTGCCAAACATACGACTCGTTTATATCAATTCCTTAAGATCACCACCATTATTCTTTCCAACCTTGAACTTTGTACTTCGTTGAAATTTCCAAGTAACGTCGATAGGCTGTCTCGAGTTCTTCGCGAGCGCGGTTTACACCTCACGAATAAACTTACTGCGACTGTAAAGACTATAATATGCCGTGAGTCCGTGACAAATCAACATATTATTACTACTATGCTATTTTGAAGAAATAGAATTGCCTTTGTTTTCAGAAAGCGTAAAACACTAATTTAACGATAGAAAAAAGAAAATAATTTTAATATAAAGACAAAAAACATCTTTAATATATTATTTTCTACAAAAGAAGACGAGGAAGAGAGAAGGAGAGAGTTGTTTCTGTTCAATATAAAATATTGAAATGCTAAAAATAATAAAATTTGCAAATATACTGCACATTAATAAAAATTTATAAAAGTTTAATAGTATGCTGAACGAAATTAGATGTGACAAATGTATCTAATTTGAAAATTATTCAGTACCATGTGGCGTTATTTAAAGAACCGCTCTCGTATATAGATCATGCATATATACCAAAATATCGTGTAATCCCTTATTTAAAAGTGTCTCTTCCCTTATTTATTGATGGTGTATCGCATCAGAGCAGCGAAATGTCAGGTTTTATGCCTTATAGCCTGTACATAAATCCACTTGCATATCTCGGTGATTCCACTCGTCTGGCCGCGCTCTGCTCGATTACGCCACTGTCCGCGAGGATAGGAGCGGAAAGAACGTTAAACTATTGAAGTGAATCGATGTAAATCGACACTTGGGACTCGGTCACGTGTAGGTGGGGTGCCTTTTCGATCGTCCGCCCGACGGCAACGGTGGCTATCATCCGCAGCCGTAAAGGGTGGATGGGTAAGCTCGGAGAGACGGACATGCGCGCTGCCCCCCCGCGATATGTCAGGCACGCTGTAGTTTGCAACAACACACAGTTGTGATGGTAACACTCACAGCGCCGCAGTTCTATCGGCGTTGCAATGTGCGCGTCTGTGGCCGATTATTAAACCGTCCGTCCCCCTCTAATCGTATTCCGTAACTTTCGCGAAATTAATCATTTCGCGATTAATCGCGCGATCGTTTGTGAAAACGCTCGAAACGCGCCTCGCGTGTGCCTCTCGCTGGGATTGATACACGTACACGCGTTTCGATCGGTTGGTGTTGACATTGAATTCGTGTGTTTCTCTGCCGTATTTTGTGCGCGTGCAAATTTGCATCGGAGCGTCACGCAGAGATCGCGATTTTATGGGGAACAACGATACGCGCATCGCGCATACCGCGACGTTATTTGTCGCAAAAAAAAATTACGCTAAAATGTGAAATAGAATCACTTTGCACGTTGCTTGTGTTGCCCGCTCGTTACCCGCAACCCGTATCGATTTAACGCGAAAATTGCCCTCGATTGGTTTTGCTAAGATTACGGACAAATTTCAGTAAGCGCCGGAAATTATAAACTATAGATAATAACGTTGCCAAAATACGCTCAAATACTTTAATAAGGGAAAATGTTTGGTTCCTGAACGTAAAATCGATATCTTAAAATATATATACTAAAATGCTTCTTTATCGATTTAACAAAGATTGCCCTTGACATAACATAATGAGATTACTCTACTTGACACATCTTATATGTATAATGAGAGCAAATTTAAATAAACTCGAAGATTACTCAATTTCTATGATAATAAATCGCAGTTTGTCGTTACAAAAAGGAACATTTAGACGAAACGCGCGCAGCGTAGATAAATTGCGTGACGGCGCAGGTGCACATCTGCGCGGCGCAGCGTTTGTAAAATAATTTAAAAAATATCCATTAAGCGCAGGAAGTGTTAATATACGCGAAAGGGAGAAAGTTATTTATAAAGACGTTTCGGAGATAGCATCGCGAGGGTATTGCCATCGCACGCGAATTTTTTTAATGCATCAGCAAGCAAACCTAATACGGCACTTCTTAATAGCGTCGAAAACTTGCTACCGCGAGCACGTAAGTTCTCCCTTTCGCGAAGTTGGAGGATAGGAGATCGTGAACTTGACATATCGTGAACGTCATATTGCAACTTCTACTTACCGTCAGTATACAAGTAGGCTCGTGTGACTACTTACTCTTTAGCAAACTTCGTACGCGTATCTTCTTTTTTTTTAGAAACTCTATGTTGGAACCTGAAATGACAGACGTCATGCATGCGCATAATTACGTTTTCTACATTTCCAAATTTTTTCCCAAAATATCTAGAGGACGCGCTTAATCGATAATTAACGATTGAAAGTGTCAATTAGTGTCAATTTGGAAATGTGAATTACGGACCAATGAACTCTGCTAAAATTGTGAACCCATGAACTGTTCGAAATGAAAGATCGCGATGGCTTCTTCTTTAGTCTCATCTAATCGCAAGTGCTAGAGAAAAAAGGATCGATAGTGTCGATGATTCGCGATTGGATGAACGCGCGCCTGAGTCTTTAATGTGAAGGAATTCGCGCGAGGATCTCTCAGGACGGTCAGAACACAGAAGGCCGACGTCGTTCCGAGGAACTGAGAAAGCGAAAAGAAATGCATATCCGGTCGCAGCAGCTGGGCGCTCGCGGAGTCTCCATGGACATGAAAACGTCATGGGCGGCCCAGGAATACGACTCGACGTTTCCTGATTTGGAGACTATGGTACATTAATTTTAGGAGCTCAACGCAAATTTCAAAAATAAAGTAAATGTGTGTCACAAGACGCACCAAGAGAGCACGAAAATAATCACGCGGCCTAAAAGAACCAAATCCCTTATCCTGCGATCGCGGCCTTTAATCGATCGTATCGTATCGTAAGTGTGCGCACACGAAAACATACGTTTAACGAGCACACATCTTAACGAAGACGGAGACGGTAACGCAAGTAGGTGAATCGTCGAAGCGGGTCAACGTCAGGCATTTCGTAAGACGGTATCCTGAAATTGGAAAAGGAGAAACCGCGAAGCGCGCGAGACACACGCGGGAGAAACGGCTGAACGCCGCTTATTCTATATACGGTTATGTATGCCGAAGTCGTCGACTTCTCGAAACTCGCCGGCGATAGCCCGAGTGCATGCCCACGCGGATTTAAATCGACACCCGATCCACAGTGATCCTTCCTTCAGAAACCGCTCGCGTGCGCTTTCTATATCGCACGTTATACGTAACGTAAAACGAGCGCCGATCCTGAAGCGCTCATTCGCGCATCGTTTATTGATCTATTTTCAACTAGCATTGTGCTAAGCCCGTCCCCATTTAAGTTTCACCTTCTCGTTCGTCTGTCTTTCTATCTAATTTTCATTCCTCCATGTCCAATTAGTACCAGTCAGTTATTAACAGATGAATCATTATCAAACGGCATTATATTTCATTACGATACGATGGAAGTATAGCCATCATGTTTACTATGCATATCGCTCGCTGAAATCTCGCGGACGTACATTACCAATTACTAATGCAATAGCAACGCATTACGGGTATTTACTGGTTCGAAGAAATAATGATAATCCTGTACAATCAATAACGGATAATTTAACTCTAATGCGGCTAATAAATTTATCCCCATATCTGAAAAGTACTCTCACTTCAATTGTAATGGATACTTAATAAATAAATACACATATCGTAAGATAATTTAATGGCTGTCTGGAATTCGAGATCGTCTTAATGCAGTATAATTTGTATATGAAAAATTTCCCAACATATCTGTCAGTTGATGAACGATCACGAATGCAAGTTCAATTAAATCTATTATTACATATTATCGTTATCAATAATCTTCGCGCTAAGTTTACGAGTTAACGCCTGTAACTATACAGAGGCAAAGTGTTCAATATGGCGGGTTCATTAGGAATGAATCAATTAGTGGCGCGGCTGATTGCCGATGCAATCATCGAAGGGATATGCAATTAGGAGCTGGTGCATGATTATTAAACCGCAATTGATCTTTGCTCCATCGTTCCTAAAATGCAAAATTCCAATCCTTGTAGAATGTATATTATAAAAAATTAGTATAAATGAGTTCCCTTATTAAAAAAGAGGAACAAAATTATTGAATCGTGGGGAAATATTGCCCCATCTTAATTTATCTCTTTATGTTATTTAATGGAAAACGAGCATTTCAAACGATGCAAGTTAAATTAATTAACTAGCAATTTTATTTTAACGATATACTAACAAGTTTATTTAATCTACAGTTTCCCTGTATTGGGTAAAATATTCCTATTTCCAATACACGATTGAAATTGAATCAATAAAATCATTTCAAAAATCAATTCCAATTTGCACAGCGAATCAGCAGCGCAAATCTACTTTTCGCCGGCACTTATAAATGCAATTTATAAATGCAATTGGCCTTATCTTCGTCAACACGCGGTCATACATAATCGCGCCGAGTTCACGCGGCAATCGAGAGTATAATACTTCTAATAATGCGCCTCGAGCGCGAAAGTCGGCCCGAAGAGCCGGGCGTCGTACGTGCGGTGCGGCGCAGGGTTAAGAGACGAACGATCCCTGCTTTAGCATAATAACGAGTTTACTAACCCCTCTCGCATGTAGGTTAGAGATGAATCGATGAGGTAGCGCCGGTTGCCTGTATACGCGGCATCGTCGTTCCTATAGCCCGTGCAGCAGTAGAGCCCGCCCGCGCGAATACCATGCACCTCTCGCATGCGAGCCGACGTTCCAACCGCGGGCAACGTCGGCCCGCATTTCCGCGCGACGACACGCCGATACTCAAAGCGAATTATCCCGCGACGCAGGCCCGCTTCCAGCAGAAGCAGCTGCAGGAGAAGGAGCAGAAGTTGCTGCAGCTGTACGATCAGCAGCAGCAGAGGGCCTATCAGGTGGTGCAGCGCGGTAGCGCCGGTTCCAACTCCGGCTCGACTCACGGTAGCACCGCGGTCAGGACCGCGGCGTCGACGACCACGGCGACGACGGCGACCCATACGACCTCGACCTCGCAAGGCGGCAAGGTAAGTGGCAAAATCGCCGGCAATCGGTTTGCCGCCTTACCCGCGGAATCAGTTTCACGCGCGTCGATTTATTTCCGGAAAGCGATTCTGAAAGTCACGAACGTCACTCTTTTTTATTTCCCTCGCGCAAAGAAATTTGGGCTGTCTCGCGAACGTCTCGTTTAAATTTCTCGTTTGAAATTTCGTTTCGAGCGTTAATTGTTTCGCACGCCGCAGGTGAGGCAAATGTTCGACGAGAGACGGCAGACTACCGTGAAGGGAATCGACAGGAGCTACCCGCTGGAACCGCTCGAGAACAAGATGCGGAAGCAAGCGAATACGAACGGCGGCGTGGCGATGAACCAGAGGAACGGCAACGTGACGGTGAACCGACAGTCCGTGAAACGCGTGACGCGCGCGGACGTCAACAGCAACGTTAACGGCGGCAAGCCCGTCGTTTCTTACCACGAGGAGGTCATTCGCGACTCGTTCGGTCCGTCCGTCGTACGTCGTTACGACGACGAGGACGAGTACGGCGTCGAGAATCGCGTCGCCACGTTCGCCAACGGGCATTATCGTCACGAGGCTGACAATGAGGTTGGTTGCTCGAAATGTCGACGTCTCGTTTAATCTTTATAATTTAACGTTGCGTCTCGTAGGATACTTACAATTAGTCTATCTAAACTCGTAAAATTGAAATTAAAAACGTTAGAAAAAATATCCCCTTGAGATATGTTCGTTAATATCGTTCAAATACTTTGCTGAGCATCTTTCACTGTTAAATCTATAGTGTCAAATTTAATCCTACTTAAGTCATCAATTCTCCTACTTAATATACACATAGTTAATTTTTAACTAAAACAATATTATTATTTTTAAATAAAATAATGGAGTTTAATCCAAATTTGGGTTAAATTTAAACTATTTTAAATTATTTAACTCCAGTTGTTTTAGTTGAAAATAACTATTTATTAAGTAGGAGCAGTGGCGACTTAAATATGGTTAAATTTGACACTACAGATTTAATAGCGTTCATAAATATATTTTTGCATTATCTATATATTAATATGTATTAATCATTATATTAATCTTGCGCAGCAAGAAGAAGCGTTGGACCAGGAGATGATGGAGAGAAACCGTATGATGGCGAAAATCCATCTGATGGGATTCGACGAGACTCTGAAGCATCGCGTGAGAAACGATTTGGAGAGCGAGGAGTTTCCGGAATACCTCATGGCGGATGTGCCCGACAAACTCTCGAAGAGGAACGTCACGAAGAAATTGTCACAGGCGGAGGAGCGACTCGAGCGATTCAAGAACGCGAACGCGAAGAGAGGCAACATGCCGAAACAGTCGACCTCATCTAACGCGATGATAAGGAACAAGCGGTCGGAGCAAGTGATTCCAGCAAAATCGAATTCCAGGTAAGAACGTTTCTCGCATTATCGAAACCGAAATTGTAAGTAAGGTAGTGAAGTAACGTGGAGGATAGTAAAGAGGAACGCTGTAATGCCCTTACGGTCGTTCTCGGGGTTTAGAAATTAAGTCTATCATTTATATGTAGCTGTGTGTAAATAATTGTGAATCTCGATCATCGAATCCGCTAACAATTTTCGCCGCTGCTTGCCAGAATCTAATTTACACGCCACGTAGTTGCAATCGCTATCCTCGACTATTACAAATGTACCGCGCTAACAACCGTGTTTATTGAAAAGAGTCCGAGAGGAAAAAGGAACACTCTGAGAGGAAGAATATAATGTCGCGCGATCGTTTTTGTTCTAATATGTGTCTATCTAACCCCCGCCTCATCGCCGTAAACTAGAGCGAATATTAAAAAAAGAAAGGGCGGACGGTGGATAACTAATTTGGCAGTGTCGTAAATATTGAAGTAAGTCAGCATTCAGGAGAAGAGAGTAATTAATTCGATTAATCTGAGTATGCAAACGAGCGTACGAACGTGCCTGCAGCGCTCCGATTCGAAGGAAACCGTGCAAAACCATCCAAGCTTAATTATCATCGTACGCGTCGCATTTAACCGCCAATTCACGCGAGGCAGATTTAACATCGGGCTCCGCAAGAAATCTGTAACAAGGTCCACTGTAAACAAAAAAAAAAGCAACAACTAGCGCTAATTACAGCTTGGTGGGCGCTGGGCCGAAAGTAAGGCCGATTGCTGCAAGAAAATGCATATATCGCTTCAAGGCCGCTTCAAGGTTCTACATTTTCTTGACTGTGCGTTCTCAGACTGTGGAGCGAGATCGCCGGAACTTCCCCGACCAGCGCGAGAAGCGGTAGTAGCCGGGCCTCCGTGCGCAGTCAAAGGAGTCTCGAAAATGCGAAAAGTCCTTTGCCGGCTGGAACTCGCGTAGTTGACGAAATGAGACGAAGGGAAAGTTCGGACACCGAGACGCTCGGCCGCACGAGTCCGCGTAGCTTCTCGACGAGAGCGACTACAAAGGCCGAGGTCACCTCGGGAATTTATCCCAGGAGGAATGAGTTTAAGTCATTGACGTCCGACGGAAAGATATTTGTAAGACGTAGCGCGAGTCCGCAGTACTTCTGCAGAGAATCCGAGAGATCTGGCACGACTATGAGCATCGATCGAAGGTCCGCTTCGCCCGAATCGCCGTTATTTCATCAAGAAACGTTAATGAAACGGAGCGGCAGTCCGCGATTTTTCTCTAGTGACTCTCGCAAACCGAGTGAATCTGAAAAATCACCGATATGGGGTAACGGAGAAATTTCGTCGAGGCAAAGCGCGAGTCCGCAATATTTCCGTCGCGGATCCGAACGATCCGACACAGCTATGAGTACCGATCGAGAAACGGTACTCGGATCTAAAGCCGAATGGCGCAAGGGAATATCTAAATCGCCACTGCACGAAGACAACATGTTAGAAAGACGAAGCACCAGTCCGCAATTCTTTTGCAAAGAATCCGAACGATCCGCCACGACTATGAGCATCGATCGTGCAACCAACGAATCTAAATCGCCGTCGTACGAGTATCGTGAAATGGTAAGGAAGCGAAACGCAACTCCGCGATTCTTTTTCAACGAGTCCGAACAATCTCGCAGAACGAGTGAATCTAAATCGTCGACATGGGACAAAGGAACTTCGTCAAGACAAAGCACGAGTTCACGAAATTTAAAAAAGCGAAGCACCAGTCCGCAATTCTTTTGCAAAGAATCCGAACGATCCGCTACGACTATGAGCATCGATCGTGCAACCAGCGAATCTAAATCGCCGTCGTACGATCGTGAAATAGTAAGGAAGCGAAACGCAACTCCGCGATTCTTTTTCAACGAGTCCGAACAATCTCGCAGAACGAGTGAGTCTAAATCATCGACATGGGACAGAGGAACTTCGTCAAGACAAAGCACGAGTTCACGAAATTTAAAAAAGCGAAGCACCAGTCCGCAATTCTTTTGCAAAGAATCCGAACGATCCGCCACGACTATGAGCATCGATCGTGCAACTAGCGAATCTAAATCGCCGTCGTACGATCGTGAAATAGTAAGGAAGCGAAACGCAACTCCGCGATTCTTTTTCAATGAGTCCGAACAATCTCGCAGAACGAGCGAATCTAAATCATCGACATGGAGTGACAAAAGAATTTCGCCAAGCACGAGTCCGCAATATTTTCGTAAATCCAAACAATCCGACGCAGCTATGAGTGCCGATCGAAAAATTGTCGGATTCAAATTGTCCGAGTGGAGCAAAGGAATGTTAACAAAGCGAGACGATACGACTGATGATTTCAAACGGAAAAAAGTTCAAACAAATACGAATCTTCTCGGTCGACTATTTTCTCCATCTACATCGCCACTTTATAAAGAGAAAATATTAAAAAGACGAAGTACCAGTCCGCAATTCTTCTGCAAAGAATCCGAGCGATCCGCCACGACTATGAACATCGATCGAAAGTCCGATTCATCTGGGTCACCGTTATTTCATCGAGAAACGTTAACGAAACACAGTAAAAATCGGCCATTTTTCCTCAATCAATCTCGCAGAATGAGCGAGTCTAAATCGCCGGTATCGGATGGCAGAGGAATTTCGTCAAAACCAAGCACGAGTCCGCAATATCTCCGTCGTGAATCCAAACGATCCGATACGGCTATGAGTACCGATCGAGAAACTATCGGCTCCAAATCGTCCGAGTGGAGCAAGCGAAGCGCAAGTCCGCGATTCTTCTGCAGAGAATCCGAACGATCTGGCACAACTATGAACATTGATCGCAAAGTTGGTGAACCTAGATCGTCGTCGTATGATCGAAAAATATCGACGAAGCGAAGCGCAACTCCACGGATGTTAAAAGGAAGAACCGAGCAACGATCTTCAATTACAAGCATCGATCGGAAATATGGTGGATTTAAATCACCTGGAATTACGCGCGACAAGCGCACCACGAGCCCGCAATTTTTCTGCAAAGAATCCGAAAGATCTGCTACAACGATGCTGATCGAACCGAGACCGAGATCAACGGACTCCACCAAAAGTATATTAAAGCAGCGCAGTTATGACTCAGATACTTCCTACAGGCGACCTGTGAAATCTCCGATTGACAAAAAGGTCAGTTCTACGAAAGGTAGGCACACTCCGAGTCCTTCGGTCACTGGACACGAAGTGAAAGACGCTTCGAAGAAACGCGAAGTCCCTGGCAATGTTACAGAAGCTCGCAGATCGTCGAGAATCTCGGAGACCTCCTCGGCCAGCTCGCTCGTAAACCTCAAGTACGGCCTGGAATTCGATAACATTTTCCAATCATCAGGTCTCGTTCGTAAGTTTATGAAGTCCCAAAATGGAAAACAACAGCGTGCGACACGTCACTCGCCTTCGAAACGCAACGTCAAGAACAGAAATGCTCGAATCTCCCCGAGAGGTAATAATCAATCGAAGGGTCGACGTGGTACTTCGTCGCATGTCCAAACAGCGAGATCACCGTCGTCCATCGAAGGCTGCAGGAGGAGAGCCACGCCGGAGTTCTCTCGCAAAAGTATCACTCCGACAGAAGTTGACATGGACATTCAAGAGATTACTATGACGGATCATCGTATCGAGCGCGACAAACTGCAGCAAAAAGCGCCGAGTCCAATATCGAAGCGACAATTTGATGGAGCGTACGCGCAATCGTCCATCAGCGTGGGAGCGAAATTCAAAACTTCGACCGTTCGCGGGACGCACGGACAGAGAGAGCCCGTTTTGGAGACGAGCGTTTTCCAATCAAAGGAAGGCGAAGCGCGACGGCGCGCGAGTTCTCGATCATCGAATCGTTCCGCGGCAAGTGCGGCTGACAGTCCGCGAGCAAAGTCTCCCGATTTTTCCAGAGTGAAAAAATATCCCGGCACGGTCCCGCCGATTCTATACGACTTCGCGGAGAGGACCAAAGGAGCACGCACGAAACTCGATCGATCGCAAACCTCGAGATCTGCAGACGACGAATATAATCGGGGGCGAGGAGGAGGAGGCGAGGGTGAAAGTGTAGCGGTGGATGAAGTTGACGCCGGGATCGGCGTGAGGTATCATCAAACGGTAGCCAAAACCGCTTTGAATAAAGAGAACAAGGGCCATTGCGAAGTTATTCGCCCAAAGTCCTCTGATCGGATCGCAAGCAGAAGGGTCTTCCCGCGCGAAACGACGCGGAAGCCGACAAAGTCGAGCACTTCAAAGAAAATAATTTCCCCGACGAGAGACTGCGGCAGGCGACACGACGTGAAGTCTAGGGTTTCACCACGAGTCTCACCATTACGGAAAACAGCAGAGATTGCTCGCAGTAGCGCCTGCACCCCGAAAATTTTCTCGTCCCGGAGTATCGAGTCGAGGGCGGATCAAAGCGCCGCGTCCAAATTTTCGTCGCGCACCGTCGAGGATCGCAGAAGCGAGAGTGTGCTGGTCGCGAAAAAATTGGCGAAATCGCTCGACGAAATGAGCGTAAAACGTAACACCGAAGAGCCGGGGAATATCGTGAGAGAACTTTCCCTAGTTCGTCGCGAGGGCGAGAAAGATCTCGCAAGAATGGACTCCGTGGAGTCGGCGTTGAAACGTTTCGATTCCATAGGCGCGGAATTCGAACGTGCAAGCCCGACGAGCTTGCGGGAGTCTTCCGAGATATCCCTGCAAACGATGGATATCCAAAAAGAAGCCCCTACTAAAGAATCGATCGCCTCGGAAGGAACAACCGTCCCTTCTCGCGAGGCAACGGGTCGTACGATTTTGAGAACGACGCTAAAATCTCCAGTCGGCAAAGATGTGAAAGCCGGAAACGCCGCGTGCAAAAGTGATTTGGGGATTCTCCAAAAGGAGACTCGTTTCTCTAAGAGAGGCGGGGACGCCTGCACCGAGAGCGAGCGAGGACCAGCGAAAATTCGATCACCGACGTGCAAGCGGCGATTGTTTGAATCCGATTCGGAGTCCCGAGAAGGGCGACCAAAATCGAGTCGCGCAAAAGTGCGAAAGGGTGAGAATTGTTCCATCGTAAATCTGAGACTTCGTAAAGACGAGGCGGTCTCGAATCGCGACGATACGAGAAAATCGACGACACCGGAAGAAATGATTACGTTTTCGGTGAAACCCTTGCGGTCCATCGAGGATATACGAAAATTGATCGACAACGAACGTAGCAAATTAGTCGCTACGAAAGAGTCGAGGTCGGCGATTGCAAATCGGCGTGCGGCCTCGCGAGAGCGTGCCGACGCGAAGAGATCGAGTCCCGTGACCGATGCAGCGAGAAACGTACTTCTCGGGGCCGATCCCGCGAGATTGACTTATAAAATTGAGTCCTGTGTATCCAGGATCACGAAGAGCCCGAGTCCCGATTCGGCTGCGACCAAGCAGCGCGAAACGAACGCGCGAACGACAAGAGGAAGCGCTCCTTCGTCCCCCTCGAAAAGTCCTGATGTTGCCCCTAGGGTAAGTGACAATTGAAAAATCGCTAATCATTTAAATCAATTAAATTACCTTGTAATAACGAAGATAACTTTAATGCCTTAATTTTTTTTCGTTTATTTATTGGAATATTTTATCTTTCTTTACAGTAAAATATTAAAAATGTTTCATGTGATTCGTCATAATTCCATCTTCTTCCTTGTCCGAAATATTCAAAATAATTCGTGCAAGTATTCGTATTATAATTGACTTCAAATTAAATTAATACTAGATTTAATGATTTCTCCTCAGCGCACAGCTACGGAATCGAGGAATCAAGAAGCGAAGCCCTCGAGAAGATCGACGAAAGGCGCGGATTCGACCGGAAGTAGAACGGTAACCGGAGCAATCGACACAGCCGACGGCTTTGTTCTCCAAAACGATTCGCCGAACGAATCTACAAGGAAATCCGACGCCTTCGTGGTCGACTACGACGATCGACCATCGAAAGAAGACGACGCGATGCCGTCGAAAAAATCATCGATGAGGAAGCCTTTTAACGATGTAAGAGGGATTATTTTTCTTTAGCTAAAACCACAGATTTTTATGCAGGCTAAAACCCGACACACGAATGTTATTTATTACATTGTTTTCGTCACGTGAATCAAGCGGTGCTGTGTGAAATAATCCATTTTTGAGCTTTTGTTTCCATTTCTAATCGCCACGAATACAATAACGCGAAATATAGCTTACTTCGTGCTCCTCTCTTGTATAAATCAAACTAAAATCTGTGTATATTCAAGTCTAAAAACCTTACAACCTAAAAACATACTCCAATATTAATACATTAGCTAATATTAAATTTATATATTTCAAATGAATTAACAATGAGAACGCCAGCCAGATATCTGGTGCAAAGCTAATATTAATCGTATTGCTATAGTTTTCTCATGGTTGTGTATAAATTATTATTCAAACAATTGCAATCAGAATTAATTAGCGGATATAATTTACCGAAAAATCAGAAGAAAACTCGCATGTCAATCGCAGCATTTAATAGAAAGAGTCGATGACGGCAATTAATAAATTCAAATTACATTACACAAGGTACAATTATGTTAACCTTAGTAACCTAAATTTGTATTTCCATCGAAAAGCTAATTTTTCAAGCAAAAGCGCGTACGTTTCAGCGTATTCCGTGAAAAAATATACATTGTTATGCAATTTTTGTATTCGTTTAATTTATACGCGCAATCTATTTATTTGTAGAAGCAACAGACAGCTTCCAGTGCGTCAGGCCGGCCGACCTCGTCGTCGAATTCCAGTGTTAACTTAATTCAAGATTCCAGCGCGAAAAGTAAAATGGCGGAAAGTGAAAGAGGAAAAGGAATAGGAAAAGGAGTAGGTAAAAGTAGAGGTAAAAATACGGAAAAGCCTTCTTCCGGTACTAGTAAGCTTGCAAACGCGTCAAGTTTCAACGAAGATGCAACTAACGACACGTAAGTTTTCCCTGTATATTTCATTAAAAAATAATAGTTCACGCCAGATAAAGATATGTATAAATTATTATTGAAATTGTAATCTTTCGAATTTCTATTTGTGCCGGAGAAGAAAATGCTACTTTGATGAACAATAACAATCGCGACGTTATTTTCATAGAATTTGGTACGATTTCTATTATAAAAATGTTGGAAAAAATTAAAAAGTTTAGAAGCCTTTCCATCACTAAAGCTAATATAAATGCTAGGACGTAAAGATTAATTATTATATAATATTGGAATTAAAAAATATTCGCGTTATTAATCGACAGGAAGGGTCTGACAAAGTGTAAAACGTGCGGACGTAGCTTCGCGCAGAATCGAATCGATCTCCACGAACAGATCTGTATGAAAACGACGACCAAGAAGAGGAAGCAGTTCGACCCGGTGATGTGCCGAGTCAAAGGAACCGAACTCGAGCCTTTCGTTAGGAAAAGTTTCACTAATAATAAGCGAGAGGTTGGTTTATCAAGAAATATCCTTGGACAGAATCGATGATTGGAAGTTTATAAATTGTTTAGTAATAATGGTATGAAATTTTGAAAGCGTATAAAGCGACGAATCGATCCAACGAAATTACCGGCGATTTATTTCGCGAAGACCGGAAATCGCGATTAGCTACTTGTTCTCTCCGAAAGGAAGACGCAAGACGCTCATCACGCTTACGCTGTTTTTCAGACGAAAACGAAGAAGCCGGAGATCAAGCCGGACTGGCGGCGCAAGCACGAGGAATTCATCAACGCGATCCGCTACGCGAGGGATACGCAGGCACGATTGGCCGCGGGCGAAAATCTGAACGATCTGCCGCCGCCGCCGCCCAGCGACACCAGCGATTACGTCCCGTGCGAGCACTGCGGCAGGAAGTTCAGTCGGTCCGCCGCCGAGCGGCACATTCCGATTTGCAAGCGTATGCACGACAAGAAGCAGACGCCAGCGCCGAGAGCGAGACGCTAGGAAGGAGGTCGCGATCCCGACGCCTATCAGGCTTCCCCGAATTCTGCGAAGAAAAGAAAATCTTGTACTTCCCCCCCCCCCTCCTCACCCCATAAATTAGCGTCTACTTTTTTTTTAAACGCACTCTTCCCCTCTTTCCCGCCGATTCACAAGCGTAACACTCCCTTCCTCGAATGGTACGCGAGACGCGACCTCACTCCATCTCGAAACTTTCGCCTGCTCCCCGTCTAACGTCGAAACATGGGTCAAAAGATTTGATATAGGTTGAACCTGAAGAGCTTGTTTCTAAAGCTTCTAAATTTAGGACAGCATTAATTTAGAACAGGAAGTGGGTTTCTTCGACTCGAATGTGATTTGCGACAGCGCTACGACGCTGTCGGTCTAAATCGAGAAGCAGGCGAGAATTATATTAATAAGAAAGAAGATTATCTATAAACTAACGGCATGTCGTAATTGGTCGACAAATTTGAGGTGATCGAATATGACAGCAATAATAAGCAATTGATGTTTAAAAGTATACTGCTGAATATCGCTTTTCATTCGTGACTCTGCTATCGCCCAAGCGGGAGCTTTGAATAACTATCGATAAAATTTTTTATCAATTGAATTTTATACTCGTTTCGTAATTAAATGCATTTTTATAACTGCAAGGATTATACACGCGAAAATAAAGCTGTGAAAAGAAGATGCGCCGATAATGTACATGAAAATATATTATACATTGGCACAAATGTGGGGGTGAGAAAAATTATTACTCTTTTCCTTTCGACTCATTTACTATATTATGTATAATATATTGCGACTATTGTATAACAATATTTATATAATGCCGCTTTTTAAAAATTAAATATTTTTTAAATTCTTTTCGTGACACATAAGACAACGAATGCCTTCCAATTGAATACTTAAATTGGATAGAAAAAAGCGACCAATTGTTTTGTCTACACTATGATATTACGTTCTATAGTATTGTAATTAGAGAGATTCCCATAATTAGTATTTTAGATATTAATTTTTTATTTCTATATATCATTTATCAAAAATATCTCTTTGTATAAATAATTCGAATTATTACTTTTCTTTTCGATTCATTTACTATATATTATGTATTATATATTGCGACTATTATATAACAATATTTACGCCGCTTTTGAAAAATTAAATTAAAATTAAATATTTGTTAAATTCTTTTATTCAATATACAGGCGGTTTGTAGGCGACAGCCTGAATATATTACTTCTTTAATGTATGTAAATTTCAAGACTCGATCTTGATACTTTTTTTTTAATTATACTATGTATTATGAATTTTCTTAGGCGGCAGATCGAATAGCTTGAATAACTTCTATCTTTCGTTATTCAAACATTACAAAAATACAACACAATTTGTGAAATACAAATGCAATTTATACATTTGCAATACATACGAAATCGTAAATAACGAAAGGTCGTACTTATATACGCTTGCATCTACTCTTATTAAAATGACGAAGAGGACTTCAGTCGAGGGCACAAAAGGTACATGTCGGTCGACGCCAAAGTGTCGCGATATTCGCACACGCGCGAGCACTTTCGTGATTGAAATTCTACTCTTCAACGTTAACAATCGCGAGGGGAAGAAAAGGAGAGTTTCACGTGAATCGTCTACATCGCGGATTCGAGACTTTCCCGCGTAACGACGATCGTGCACACATACGCTCGCGTCGCTGAACGAGAGAACGAGTGGGCGACCTTTCGAAAGTTACCTTCGCGAAGAGAAGCTTTTCCACTTTCGGACGTCGAAAATCGCAGAAAAAGGCAACAGGTAAACGCGGCGAGCGATTCGGACCCGCGCGCGCGTCCGCGATCTCTAGCCCCGTTCGCAATGATCGCGACACATTGATACGTTGCGAGCCGAGGGCTCGCAAGTGCGGCGGGCCAATCGGAACGGTCCACGAAAGAGTCGCACGTCGGCGGCCGCCGGGATGCCGCCAGCGCGCATCCGGGCGAACCGTCAGTCCAGAACGGTCGGAGCATTCGGGGGGAGCATCGTGCCGAGGTGGTGTGTTGGTTCGCTCGCTCGCAACCTCGCTGTCAACTTCGGCGGATGTGAATGACTGCTGACGATGCCGCGTGTCGCCTGTGCAATCCACGGAACGATGTCGAGGCTCTTGGGTGAGTGCTTCGCGTGCGCCGCCGCGAATCGTCGGCGCGGGGCCGACCGGTCGTTCGTCGGCGACGCCGCGACGGGCCTGCTGACGGTTGGCACGGATCCCGGCCGGAATTTCTGTGTGGATCGCCGGCAACAAGTGTCCTCCACGAGTCCCCGCGCCGCGAGAGAGAACAAACGTCGTCGTTCGTGCTAGCTCCACGCCCGCGCGAGCCACGCGGCCCCTCGGCCACGTAGCTCGAGCGTGGCTTGAAATCTTGATCGCGCGCGATCGGATCCCTCCGAAACGTACATCTTGTTCTCTTTCAGCACGTATTTCTTGTTGCAGGTGTCCTCCTGCTGGTCGCCGGAGCGAGCTGCTTGTACTCGTCCAATTCAGCCGTCGTTGATCTTAGGCCAAATAATTTTGATAATTTAGTGTTAAATAGCGATCACATCTGGATCGTCGAGTTCTACGCGCCGTGGTGCGGACACTGTCAACAGTTGACGCCGGAGTACGATAAAGCGGCCACTGCGTTAAAGGTGACTCATCGTTTTTTAATTCGCTTTTTCTACACAACAAACGTGTATATGTGTTATCTTTAACTTGCGTTGCGTGTCCTACCTTTAACAGGGTGTTGTAAAAGTTGGAGCGGTAAATGCCGACGAGCACAAGTCCTTGGGAAGTAAATACGGCGTTCGTGGCTTCCCGACGATTAAGATATTCGGGCTTGACAAAAAGCCGGAGGATTACAACGGTCCGAGAAGCGCGGCTGGCATTGTCGACGCTGCGCTAAATGCCGCCAGTCAGAAAGTTCGAAAAGCACTGGGCGGCAAGGCTTCTGGAGGCGAGTCCAAGGTGAGTTACAATTCGATGATTCGCGACATGGCATTAGTTCTTGATTTTCTTTACGGGGAATATTAAATATAGAGAGAGAATGATATTAATGCATAAGTCGAAGAGATAACTTTCTGGTTCTACCAATTAATACTGAATAAAATTAATTTGATTACTCGCAGAGCAAAGATTCCAAGGATGTGATAGAATTGACGGACGAGAACTTCGACAAATCTGTTTTGAACTCCGAGGATATGTGGCTGGTTGAATTCTACGCTCCTTGGTGTGGCCACTGCAAGAATCTAGCGCCCGAATGGGCAGCGGCGGCCAGCGAACTGAAGGGCAAGGTCAAACTGGGAGCCCTGGACGCCACTGTAAACACATTGAAGGTGAGATACACGCTTCACCGGATATTTCCTTGCAACGCGACCGACGTGACACGCTCGTACTAACGCAACGCAATGTTGCAGGCAAGTAAATACGAGATCAAAGGCTACCCCACCATTAAATTCTTCGCACCGGGCAAGAAGGACGTCGACTCGGTGCAGGACTACGACGGCGGTCGCACGAGCGGTGATATCGTTAACTGGGCGCTCGAGAAACTAGCCGAGAATATCCCGGCGCCGGAAGTGGTGCAGATCACGTCCGAGAAGAAGCTGAGGGCCGCGTGCGAAGACAAGCCGATCTGCGTGGTGTCCGTTCTGCCGCATATCCTAGACTGTCAGTCCGACTGTAGGAATGGATACTTGAAAACCCTAAGTAACCTCGGCGAGAAATATAAGAAGAAGATGTGGGGGTATGTATTAAACTGACTCTATTAAAATGAATCATAATTATTCTGTATTTCATACTTTGGACGTGATTATAAAATCAATCGATATTTTTTGATTTTTCGATTCTCATCACAAAATTTATTTTACGATAAGTTATAACTGAGAAAAATCGATCGAGCAACACTAGATAGGATGTTGATTTTAAAAAACTTTTGTAATTTGATTTTTTTAAGAGACTATGTAATTAAATTTATTTTATATCACATAAACTACGTCGCCGATCTTTGTTATCATTTTTCACAAAATGTTTCCACTTTTCACAGATGGGTCTGGGCCGAAGCTGGTGCTCAACCGCACATCGAGGACGCGTTAGAGATCGGAGGTTTCGGCTATCCCGCGTTAGCGGCCGTCAACATCAAGAAGATGAAGTACTCCTTGCTAAAAGGCAGTTTCTCATACGACGGAATAAACGAGTTCCTACGAGATCTAAGTTACGGCAGAGGCGGCACCGCGCCCTTGAAGGGGGCACAATTGCCAGTCATCATCGAAACGACGCCTTGGGACGGCAAAGACGCTGAACCACCGCAGGAGGAGGAGATCGATCTTAGCGACGTTAATCTAGATGAGAAGGACGAACTGTAACTTACTGAAAGCCAACTGGCTGAATTCTTCTTAGAAGAATTTACCGCACACGACGTATATCGGTTCTGAAAAAAAAAACTGCGAGTAAAGGCGTTAATCGCGTTAATCGATATGCAAGTCACACTCGCCTGAAAGTTTATTTTGTATCATCAAACTTAACATCTATATATATATATATACATATATATACACACATATATACTTAAGAGTCAACATCGATTGATTTCGTAATGAAATTAATGGTAAGAAATTCCATTACGCAATGATTTTTGTATAATAACATCAGTATATGATATACATAATATAATATAATCATTTGTCGCTGTGTATCCTAAGGAAGACTAGTTCTCAGGTGCAGTTAATCTAGTTTTATATAAAAAAAAAGTACACCTTTAAGTAATTCTTCCATCTGAAAGCCAATTTTATACGGTTTTGTGTTGCTCTAGAAGAAGTAAACTAGTTCTATAGACTCCCATCATGTGTAATTCTCTCATTGTTTGTATCGTTCTCTCCATGTGTTTGGATAGGAAGAATAAAAAGAGTAGAGCAGGTTTAAAGTTTCGTGTATCATGATGCATTTATTAGTCTGCTTACTTTTTAAGTAGATTGTCTAAGATACACATAGTTCATGTAAAAAAAAAATCCTATTTGTAATAAATATACATCATTACAAAAGTGATTTTTGTATAATATCAATATATGTGATATAATCATTTGTTACTCTGTGTGTCCTAAGGAAAACTAGTTCGCAGGTGCAATTTGTCTAGTTTTATATTTAAAAAATACAACTTTTTGTAACTCTTCCGAAAGACAATTTTATATGGTTTTGTGTTGCTCTAGGAGAAGTAAACTAGTTTAGATTCCCGTCATAAACATATGTAATTTTCGCATTATTTGCATCGGTCTCTCTGTGTTTGGACAAGAAGAAAAAAAGGGTATAGAGCAAAATTTTGAAGTTTCATGTTGTCATGGTGCATTTATTAGCTTGTTAATTTTCTTAAAAGTAGATTGTCTAAGGTACACATAGATCATGTAAAAAAATCCTATTTGTAATAAATATACATTATTATGCAATGATTTTTGTATAATATCAGTATATGTCATTTGTTAAATGTATATCAATATAAAATCATTTGTCACTCTGTGTATCCTAAGGAAGACTAGTTCTCAGGTGCAATTTGTTTAGCTTTATATTTAAAAAATACACCTTTAAGTAATTCTTTAAGTAACTCTTTCGAAAGTCGATTTTATATTGTTTAGCGTTTATGTATAATGGGAGAAGTAAACTAGTTTTAGACTTCCATAAACGCATATAATTCTCGCATTGTTTGCATCGCTTTCTCTCTATGTGTTTGGATAGGAAGAAAAAAAGGCTAGAGCAAATTTGGAGTTTCGTGAAGTTACGATGCATTTATTAATTTATTTACTTTTTTAAAAAAGTATATTGTCTAAGGTACACATAGTTCATGTAAAAAAAAATGCTATATTAGATGCACTTGTCTAGCTTTATATTTTAAAAATACACCTTTAAGTAACTGTTTTGACAGGCGATTTTGTACTGTTTCGCATTGATGTAGAGTGGGAAGTAAATTAGTTTTAGACTTCCATAAACGCAGTAATTCTCGCATTGTTTGCATCATTTTCTCTATGTGTTTGGATAGGAAGAAAAAAAAAGGGTAGAGCAAATTTGAAGTTTCGTGTTGTCATGACGCATTTATTAGCTTGTTTACGTTTTTAAAAGTAGATTGTCTAAGGTACACATAGTTTATAAAAAAATCCTATTTGTAATAAATATACATCATGCATTTAGGCTATTGTGTATTGTTATTTCAAAGTACATTTTTATGAGTATTGTGAGTTTTACGCATATTGAAGTGACGCAAAGAAAACGATTTCTCAGCAAGGCTATTAATTGACACTTTCCCTATAACGGGATTTCGGAACAAATTTAGGAGATTATAAAAATCAGTCTGTATTGTGGCATGTTAGTATAATTGATATCATTCCATTCTAATTAAAATGAGTGTACTCTTTTGCAGTCTTTTAGAGTCTTCCATCACAAGCAGAATTGCTGTACGTGGTATACTATTTGTATGTATATAAACTAATAATTATGTTTAAAGAAAAACTTCTAACGTCTCTCGTTAGAAAGTTTTTCGCACACTTAACGTTTCTTCGTTTCTAACATGTGCCCAAGATCATTTTTAGTTTATATAATTCAGTCTTTTCTCACAACGGCAATATAAATGCAATAAGAGTAAAATTATTTCCATATCGTTCGCTATAAATGCTTGTAAAATTTATCGTTCGAGTCGCAATATATTCTTTGTGCGGCACATTGTTAACATTATCACTAACGGTGTACACGCAGAGTTAACTTCCGTCAATTCTATACTGTCGCGTTCTTCTTGCATATGTATGCATCATAAAGATGTAATAAATTCTTAATTCTGCCGGTATTAAGCTGCAGTCGTGATACGCCTCATATGCCGTATCGTTGGCGTTACGTTTTTGTCTTCGTTTAGTAGCTTCATTTTTAACGAATTTTTAAAAAATTGCACATAATTTGGCGACTCACGCATATACTCGGTGAAATTCCTTTTCAACTCCACTAGATAACTCATCTCAGCGATTAGCTCGATAGACGGAGGCTTGCGTTTCAACGGAGTACAGTTACAAGAGTAGTGTTATGAATATGATAACGTCTATAATTAATGCGATAATCCCCTCCCCCCCTCCCAGCTAAAACGATCATTTTAAAAAATTGATCCCAGTATTGCATATACAGGACGTCCTAGAAAAGTTATATATCATTTCGCTGACAGATTCTGGGAATGTGTAATACGAAAACTTAAACGAGAATGTATCGAAGTTATAAAACTTTTTAAATGATTAAGCTCATTAAGCCACTTGGCATTACTTCATTGTCTTGATTCATCATTTATTTTAATTATAAAAAAATGATTAAGTTAACCAATTATAACATCTCTCATATTAAATTATTAAATGCTTCTTATTTAAATATCACGACATTGTTAAAATCTCGTAAGAAATGAATTATATTGCATAAGTTTATTAATGGGGTTTATAACATAGATATGCTAATTTAGATCAATATTGAACATATTATGGTGTAGTAAATAGGACCAGAGCTATTGCCTATTACAACCGTACGATGTTCAGCTCCGTAGATTGCTCATACATGAGAGATGCACATACATGAATATCCGTTAGATTGTATGTCTGAGAGAGATGATACACTATTGCAAGCGGATATTAGATTGGACCAAAATTGTAAACCTATAGCAGATTCCATCAGATCACGTTACCTTATTGTATTTATATAAAAACAAATTATTCAAACAGCAACAATTTCGAAAAATGGGGGCCCCCCCAATGGCCATTGACACTTCAAGAATTTTATAGATTTATAAATTTCGATTAGACTTTCCGTGAAATTAACTGGTCAAAATTAACCCGCGACATAACGGAAGAAAAATTTCAAAATGATTCCGATTTTAATTTCAGTTTCCATTAAGATTAAATTAGATGAAATTCCCTGTAGCTACATTTCTATGTTCGTCTTGGTTTGTATGAATTGATCACAGTACTACGGGTTGCACATGATACATCGCACGCGCGATTAGGAAGGGCAATTGACTCGCTTTTTAAATATTGACATAATTAATGCGTTTATCGAAAAAGTGCTGAAATTTAATTTCTTATTTTAAAGTGCATATATATGGATACAGCATAAAAATGTAGTGGTTAAGAGCTATCACGCGCGCGATGTACCATGCCTGCATGAACGCACGAATTTTAGACGCTAGAATTAGCTAACTAACTTCAATCGTATATAATTTGAAAATATTATATATAGCCTCGATGTGTTCGTCTTAGAATGCTTTTTAGAATCTGCCAGCGAAAGGACTTTCCTAGGACGCTCTACTATAAGATAGTATGAAAACGCGCAATAATCTCAATCTTAATATTTTTCTACTCTGAAATGTCTTATATGGCAGTGTTGTTTTAAATTGGTATAAAACTTAATTGCTATTAAACTTGTACAAAAATACTATTACTCTAAATTAATAAATGTACCTATGCTTATAAAATAAATGTCTGAGTTTACATTGTCTTTTCAGGCTTTGATCCTTTATCGATTCAACGACACGTCGTTCGACACGTCATTCGATATGTCATTCGAGTGGCAATATACTCTAAGTTCGTGCGGCACATTGTTAACATTGTCAACAGTGCACACAGAGTTAACTTCCGTCAATTCTATGATGTCGTAGGTCGCTTCCCTCTTACATATATATGGATACAGCATAAATATGTAATAAGTTAGTGTACTTAGTATAATAACGCCGATAATTAACGCGATGATCCCCCAAGCTGAAACGATCATTTTCCGACCTGGCTGCGGCTGCGATTCGTTCTTGGGCGCCGTCGGTCCCGCCAATTTCTGACTCGTCTTGTAATACTTGCCGTTTTGACCTTCCGCTCGATAATTCTGCTTGGGGCTGTATACCGATCCGCTCTCAGCTTCGGGGAATATCGCTGCGAAACATTTGTATGTATAATAATAAGCTAAAAAAGACTCAACAAAGCAACGAAATAACAAATCAAATAAGGGCTATGAGCCAGAGCTGGATATTTATTGCTCCAATAAGACAATATTACATAAAGTGATTAAAAGTAAAACAAACGCTTCGACCCGTATTAGGTCATTCTCAATGTTGAATCGATAAAATTAATACGAGTAAATTGGAACAGTAAAATATAAAAATACATTGTTAAAATTCGTTAAATACCATCTAAAACAAAATATTCAGGCGCAAATCTCTAAAATCGTGAAGTAGACTGAACGTACGGTCCTCCCAGATTTAAACCGGAGACAAAGGCGAAAAATGTCATTGTTAGAGTCCGTAATTCTTAACATTGTAGAAGCTGAATCTAGGAGTCCGTATCATTCGAAGAATAGAATTAACATTTTTAACTTTAGACATGAACTTGAAAACTTTTTTTCAAGTTCATATCTAAAGACTCATAGACGCAAAACGGTTACTGACTACAAAAATGTTAATTTGAAGCGTTTGTTTTACTTTTAATCACTTTATGTAATATTGTCTTATTGGAGCATTAAATATCCAGCTCAGGCTCGTAGTCCTTATTTGTTATTTGTATATATCATTTTTATTGTACGTCAGGAGTCAGAAATACAGCAGATACAAACATTATATGGCATTTAACTGTAAATATAAAGGCCGTTAACAAGTGCTGATATGACGCGAGATAAAGATTGGGGCAAGCTCCGGAAAATTTTCGAAAAATTTCTCTGAAATTCCGAATTCAACACTTACCTGCAACGACGGCAATAATGGCTAGGAAATAAATCGCCCTCATAGTGTTTGAATGATATCAGCCTTACATCTGATCTGTATCAGAGACGAGATAATGCTTTACTCGTCACGTTTTTTATGGCGCAGACTGGAACTAATTCACGCCTCTGGTATGTTTCGTGATTCACGCTGCTGTAAATGCATTGTGCTCAGCGTGGTCCATAAAAATGAGTGCACTCAGCGCATTCAACAGTTGAACGAGCGCTCGCTGCTGTTGGTGTATTCTTCTAGATCTAAAGATCTGATTGGATGACCTAGAAGAATACACCAATAGCAGCGAACTGTTGAGCCTGCTGAATGCACTTTATGCACCCAACAAAAGTAATTTTTGTGCCCCATGGATATCTATGGTATGCCTATGGTGTGCACCCAAGAAAAGAGAAATCTCCCTGCTGTGACGTACCATATAGGGAAATTCATTCATCCCAGCAAACGGAAATAAAATGAAATGAATAGAAATAAATTCATTTCGACATTTCCAAATTCGCGCTTTTGATTTCTCGAATCCATTTGAATTCAAAAATAATATAATATATGGGCATGAATACATTAGAATTCAATATGATAAATAGCTCTTTTCGTATTTCAATTTATTTGAATCCAAAAATTGGTGTGTTCTTTTTGAAGACAGTGCAAGCACCGTTTTTTTTTGTTTTCTCTTGTTTTCTTCAAAGTGAAGAGAAAAAGAGGGAAGATGTATCGTGTAAGAAAGCGCATGATGCATCGCATTTAAAAAGAACATACCAAATAATATAATACAGGCATAAATACATTCGAATTCAACACGAATAGTCCATTTTGTATTTCAATTTATTTTAATCTAAAAATAATATAATAGAGACATGAATACATCTCCGGATTGTACAGCGCCAATTCGAATTAATAAATCAAAATGAATTGCAATTTTCAATTCATTTGGATTAATTTTTGTTTACTGGGATAGCAATCGAGTAATGTTCACAACATGAGAGTCGTAGACTTTGTGCTCCTCCTAGAGTTCTATTCTTAAAAAATTTTACGAAACAGACAGATACCTGAAAAAGGACATGTTGGCCTTTTGCCTGTTATCTCAAAATGCCTTCGTGCACTAATGTGCCCCCTCCCAAGTAACACACGATTGTCACGAGAAGGTCAAGATGATGTCATCTTGACTGAATTTTGATGAAAAATTTCGTCAAATCTTAGTCAAGATGACATCATCTTGATTTTCTCGTGACAATCATGTGTTACTTGGGGTGAAGAAGTAATCCTGAGGATGTAAACTACATAGCAACATATATTCACTTTGCTAAACCGCGGGTATATAACGCGAGTAAAGGATAAACACAAAATTCACATGTTAATTATTATTACCGTTGACAATTGTCCATTTCAATATTTAATTGATTTTATTAATATAATGGCCCTTTCGCGACGCGTTCGTGTTTCGCGCATCATTCAAAGGCGTAGAAGCTTACGCTTATTGCTGGTGATTAACTGACAGCAAAAAGGAGTATTTCTCCTTGCTGTCGATTTTTGGCATATGACGCCAGAATATTGGCCAGGAGCTACGAAAAGTGAGTTTAATCCGACTAGAAAAAAAAAAACAAAGAGGATCTTCACAAGGTAAAGTGTAAGGTGTGTAACACCAATCAAATAGGTATAGGTACATATAAAAGATAAGTCTATAAGGTTTTCTTACTTACGTGCGATTGCACGTAATCGGAGACGGAATTAATTTAAGATACCGTCTCAATTCCCACTGAATTAAACTCCCACTAACGGTCCGTTCCAAAATTTCCAAACGGTCGCGCGCGATTTAAACCTAAATTCGTGTTTTCTAAAAATTCGGATAATCAACCCAGATAGCACAGAGAGTGAAAAAAGAACTCAATTATGTATTATGTCATCAATTCTGAGCTCATTTTCAGATGCAAAAAGAATTCTTTTTCTAAAAGAGATTCTTTTTAGACCTGAAAATAAACTCAGAATTGATGATGACCTAAAACTGAATATATTAATGAATTTTTTTGGGCTCTGTGTGCTATCTGGGAAAACTAATAAGTATAACAAATAAAAAAAGATACGGGCAGATATGAATACGGGTGGGTAAGAATTTAAATCTGTTGGATAAAAATCGGAAAGGTAGAATATAAATCATATAAATATGAATACGGGTAGGTAGAAATTTGGGAGTATAATTTTTCAACAATAGAAAAATCGTAATTAACTTTTTAATTTTAAAAAATTTAGATAACAAATTCAGAAAATTCAAAATTCAGAAAACAAATAAGGATGCACGGATAGGTATGGATACTGTTAGATAGATTCCTACCTAAAGGGGCGTGGGCATGATTAATTGACAATAAAAAAACTGTTTTGTATTTCAGGAAATTTAATTTCTTTTTATTTCAGGAAATTTAATTTTTCTTGTTTTAGAAAATGTAATTTTTTTTAATGAAGGGGAGGCATGATTTGACAATAAAAAACTTTTTTGTATTTTTGGAAATTTAATTTCTTTTTATTTCAGGAAATTTAATTTTTTTTATTTCAGAAAATTGAACTTTTTACTTCAGGAAATTTAATTTTTTTATTAAACTCGGTTTTCTGAAGGGTAATTAATAAAATAATTAATTTTATAACATTAGCATTGTTATTTCGGACTTGACGGCGTTTGAAGAAAGGGCCGATTCGACTCACAAGCAGCAGCAGGCAGCTCCGTCGACCGACGAAGTCACGGGCCCGCCAGTCACGTGCCGACGGACGGCGCTTGACACGTGCGTAGTCAAACAGCTGATCCGGCAAACATGGCGGCGCTGAGGAGCTGCGTCTCGGCTGTTTGCGGCATTCTGCCGAATAATATAAATTTACTGGGACACGGCGTAAGCGACTGCTTGAGCAATAGATTTTTTTTATAATCCATAATTTTACATCGATATAAATTCATTGGTACACGAGCAACTTCAAGTCGTAGGCTGTTGTACTTCAGATATCTAGATCAGTGTGACTGCGTTGACATGAGGTACGCCTTCTTCGCGTCTAATTACGTGCTTTCTCCGTTGCAGTTGCAACAGGTACGAAACTACGTCGGCTGCAGGGTAATCCGCGATCAGAAGCGCAGAAGATGGGCGAAGCAGTACGCCGAGGAACGCTTGCGATTGGTTGCCTTGAAGCGTAACGATATCCTGCCAGTCGAGATAAGAGTAAGTGACTCAGATTCCACTTGTAAAAGTAACAGATCTTGGCATTCTAATCACTCGGGGAATATTAAATATATAAAATGTAAAATTGAGAATTTTTTCGTTGCATCTCCAATCGCTCATCTCCAATGTATTTTTATGTACGATGCATTTACATTTAATTCTGTACTAATTTGGAGCAGTGCTGTGCATATTATCTATGTAGTATAATTATATTCAGAATAATTATAGTATAACAATACTCTGAATAATTCAAACTGCATAATGATTCTTTCAGGAGCTCGCTGGCAAGCAAATAGACGAAACGATTCCAAGGCAGACCGCTTTAAGACAGCTAACGCCGAGATGCGTAGTGACGTCTCGGGGTCGAGGTACAGTGATACGGTGGAGGCTGTCACGATTCATCTTCCGTCACCTGATTGACTATAATAAAATGGCTGGAATGCAACGTGCCATTTGGTAGAACGATGGACTTAGCACCTTGGACTGCATATCACTTGCGTATTGTGTATAATTAATACTAATGAAACGTAAATGAATCCTAATGAAGGGTAAATGCACGGATACGAGTAGAATATTAAATAAATTATTACCATGTTCCTCTATTTGACTTAATTTTATTGAGGTTTTTATTTCATCTTATTGTATTATGACGTCAAAAACGAGAAGTCATAATTTTTTTTCCAAGTGCAACATACGCCGGAATAAATTAACCTTTTTCCTGTACCATCTTATGCATGTGTATAGATTGGTAAGACATATCAAATTTTTTTTTTACTTGATTGCTTGCTGTATAGAGCCGTAAATCTTGATCATTTATTAACTCATTTTTTATTCTGGAAGAATACAGAATAAATTATGCATTTACTAGGGCGAAATGTTGAAAGAGGAATTAAGCTACCGATATATTTTACCAATTTATATGTCGAATGCGAATAGCGTCATGCGAAATTAATTAATTTCGACGTATGTATAAGGAAAAAAAAAACTTCGCACGATTTCTTGTTTCTGCCATGGTAATTTAATATGACTGGAACGTGAGAGGATATAGGAGTTTTAGGAAAAAGATTAATTTTTTATTCTCATACAATTAAATATATATCTGATCCGTATATACAAAACTTATATTTCTTTTTCAAGGATAACGTATATATTTTAAAGAAAACGACATTTCGAAATTAATTATTTTAACGATCAGCTGACTGCTATTCGATGAATTACGTATGTCGGTCTCAATTATTCGGCTTTACAGTGGGCGTACATAGGTATGTTTATTTCGTGAAGAAATCGATTCACAGATGTATATGCCACGTGTAAACAGTTCTCGCTGTTTTCCTTCGTTATACATACCTCATTTATTAGTGTATTCCTCATAACTGCGCGGGGACGAACCGCATCCCTGAATATTTTATTCAGTCTAACGCTTCTAACTCGCTTTCGACCGCTTTTTATCTCGTCTCTTATCGCGAAGTGCAAATACAACTAATACGACACGAATACGTACCGATTAAATGATTGTAAATTACTGTTTAGGCGAATCTAAAATAAGCTATCAAATTCATAAAACCTACTTTTATACGAACATTCTGACTATTATAAGCGCATCGCGCTCATCAAACTCCTGACAGGTAACAAAAATATTTTATTCTGTCGCTAATCATTAATTAAAGTAATAAATTAAAATTTGTTTAATTTATCATTTTTTATTTATTCCAATAGTTTCGCTATATGTATATATATGAATTATTTTAAAAAATCTAAGATTTTCAAGAATAGAAAAGAGCTTAAGAGGTCAAAAGAAAAGTTTCGAGAAATTGTAACAGTCCAATTTTAATACTCTTTAATAATGCATTAAAAATCACACGTTTATGTTTCGTACGTCAATTAATTTTGGAACTTATTTGCTTGTGTAGTGAAAATCGATCGTGCTGAAACAATTGATATCCCGCGATATTCGAAGGAACTCAAACGATCGTTCATAATATATATCGTATAATATAGATCGTAAAAAAAAAGAAAAAGAAAAACAATGCAATCAATACGACCGATGTCGTACACGTGCATTTTATTCTCAGCAAAGCTTGGGCGTAAGTGGTATAGCCGACTATCTGATCGGGCATGCGTCGCGCGTGCTCCGCATGTAATCTTGATTCAAGCCGGTCTTTGCTCGCACTAGTGCACGTTGACACTCGAGGCGCGGAGTTCAGACGCTATCATCGCCGAAACTCACGTGTTTCTTATCCACCGCCTGTGTCTTTCTTTGGATGACATCCATGGCGATGAGAATCACGAAGAGGAAGACTTCATGTAGGTACCTTATACAACACCCGATTCCTAACGCGCAAAAGTATCATTTACAGAGAGCCTCGCATAATTAAAAAATAATTAAAGAGATGTCACAAAACTGTCTCTCCGTTTTCTTCGTGTCTCGTCATATGTCCCATAAAATTTTACAAAATATTTTAAATAATCGAAAAGAAAACTATAAAAAGGATAACTCAAGTATTTAGTAATAAATTTTACTTTTGTTTTCATGTTTTATTTTTTTTTTTTAGGCTTGTCTGTCACTGTTTGTTTTATGTCCTGCGCTGTCGTTTGACAGAAGGAGCAATACCGGATGGACCGGCTTGTTGTATCAAATCTGCAGTGCCACGCACTTGGGATGTTACAGCTAGGTTATTTGTTCTTAGAGTTAGTTCCATTACTCGTAACTGTGCGTCCCAGCTATAAAAATAATGTTTTTATTATTTTCTTAGTAAATTAAATAATGAGAACAATAAAGTAATTTTAAGAATATACTTACATCTTTGAAGCTGATTTGGTCTTCACTAAATTTGCGATAACTCCATTATTTAATGTAAGCAGGTTTGTTAACATTTTCTTCAAAGTGCACGATAAGCGTAGTAAGTCTGGACTCCAGGGATGATTTCTGTAATTGTAATATATAATTATAATAATTATGTATAGATAATTTTTTACTCGCCCTCGTATGTGAGGGTGAAAGGATGCGGAACTGCGGAACGTTCGTGATTGGTAGTGGTTTACACTGCCGATTCCGCCGTTTTTTATTCCGCAAGTTTACTTTTTAGCGGATTCCGCCATTTCCGCCGATGCGTGCATGTTACGAGCCGAAGCCACGTAAGGTATAATATCGAAGTAAATCGACAACCGTTTACTTACGAAATACTTTATTCTAAATACTTTATTCTGGACAATTACAAGGCGAGATGTATTCGTTACGAGAGATGACATAGAATTGAACTGTTCAAGAGAGATCTTCGTTTCGAATCTCGCGGGTGTAGCATTTATATAGAGTTAACAGTAGATACAGAAAGTGTAAGCATTTATGTTTATTATGGCTAGGTAATGTTAGAGTCCTAGATTATCAGAGAAGCGCGACCGGCTTATGGCAGTATCGCAAAAGTACTAGAAAATATTAAAAATGGCGTCGAATGGCCAATCATAAGTTTGATTTATTCGGCAGCCATTTATAATAGCGATAAATCAATCTTATGATTGGCA